CCTGCTTCTCCCTCTCCCACTCCCCCTGCTTGTGTTCCCTCTCTCGCTGTGTCTCTCTCTGTCAAATAAATAAATAAAATCTTAAAAAAAAAAAAAAAGAAAAGCAAACAGTGACCGAAAAGAAAAATGGACGATGGACATAAAGAAGGTTCACACAGAAAGAAATTCAAATGATCAAACATACGAATGTACTTAACCTCATTCATAATGAGAAAAAATGACAATGCAAATCACACCAAGAGACAGTTTTTAACCTAGCAGGCTGGCAGAGGTCGGCATGCGGGACAGCCCAGGCTGGGGATGGGGGCAGCTGGGCGCGGGCCAGGGTGCATGAGTGCACACGGGCATCACCCCCACGAGAAGCAATTTGGCCATGTTTATCAACATTATAAATGCAGGAACCCTTTGACCCAGCACCTCCACTTTTAGGAATTTATTCCACAAATTTACAGAGTGAGACTATTCACTGCAGCATTATTTATAACAGCAAAAGCCTGGAAACAATCTAAGTACCCATCAAGAAGAGACTAAAGAAAATACAGTAAGACCATATGATGGGGGCGCCTGGGTGGCTCAGTCATTAAGCATCTGCCTTCCGCTCAGGTCATGATCCCAGGGTCCTGGGATCGAGCCCCACATCGGGCTCCTTGCTCTGCAGGAAGCCTGCTTCTCCCTCTCCCACTCCCCCTGCCTGTGTTTCCTCTCTCACTGTGTCTCTCTTTGTCAAATAAATAAAATCTTAAAAACAAAACAACAACAAAAAAAATCCACCATATGATGGAAGACCCTGAATCCATAAAAGGGAATGAGGATGCTTTCTAGGGACTAATAGGAAATTAATCTAGAATACATTAAGTGGAAAAGGCTAGATCCAGCTCAGCCAATGTTATCCTACTCTTTACAGAAGAGGAGTGAAGGATACATCATGTACTTCTGTCCACACACACAAACTATCTCTGGACAGACCCACAATCTGGAGATTGGTGGGTAGGTGTGGAATATAGACTTTCACTTTATTTTTTAAAAAAAGATTTGATTTATTCATTTAAGACAGAGACAGAGAGAGAGAGAGAGAGCATGAGCAGGGGAAGCAGCAGAGGGAGAGGGAGAAGCAGACTCCCTGCTGAGCCAGGAGCCCTATGCGGGGCTTGATCCCAGGACCCACAGATCATGACCTGAGCCAAAGGCAGATGCTTAACCATCTGAGCCACCCAGGTACCCCCAGACTTTTCACTTTAAACCCTCTGTAACTCTTGGGACACCTGAGTGGCTCAGTGGGTCGAGCGTCTGCCTTTGGCTCAGGTCATGATCCCAGGGCACTGCAATCGAGTCCCGCATTGGGCTCCTTGCTCGGCGGGGAGCCTGCTTCTCCCTCTGCCTGCCGCTCCCCCTGCTTGTGCTCTCTGACAAATAAATAAATAAAAATCTAAAAAAAACCAAAAAACCAAAAAACCCCCTCTGTAACTCTCTAATTTGGAACCAAAATATAATAATTTTTAAATGAAAAAAATTAAACATTTCCTCTCACAGATTTTCTCCACGCCCCCCCAACCAATCTTGCCCCCCGAGCCTGGGCCACTCTTTCCCTATATTCCTCCCATGCAGACACCAATGCTTCACCATCTCTCCCTCACCACCTCTGCTCCTCTGTAATTGGCAGCCATCCCAGGCCTGGCACCGCCTACTGGTACCCCTTGCGCCTCCTGGAAAGGGATGCAGAGCACCGGGCTGTCACTTCGGTTTGCTCATGGTCTCTGTCCACTGGGAGGACCCACAGGCCCTCCTTGGCCCTGGGAACTCTCATGCGGGGAGTCTGCCTGTCCTGGTCTCCTGGTCTGTGGACTAACCCTGTGACGCAGAGGTTAGAAGAAGGTCCAAGAAGGCATCTGTCCGTCTCCCGAACCACATCCCTTCTGCACTCCACTCGGGGAAGGTTCAAATTCTCACCCACAGAAAGGAGGAACAACCCTACAAGCCCACATGCCTACAAGCTACTCTGGGCCACACAATGTGGCAGGTCCCTGGATTCCCTGCCCCCTAAGTTATTCCTGATGTTTAGCCCCAGAGGCCTCCAACTCTGACGTGCATAAAGGTCACCTGGGGAGCCACTCACAAGAATGCAGTTTTGGAGATTCCATCATCAGAGACTGTGGTTCTGTAGGTGTGGAGTCTGAGAACCTGCATTTTTAATGGGAGCCGAGGGCCCTGTGATGAAGATGGAGTGTAGATCTGAGTTTCAGAAACCAGCCTATTGCCCTCTGGACACAAGTCAAATTCCTTAGTACGGATGGAGAACACCAAGTAAAACGGATGAAGACTCCTAGTATCTCTCTTCTCTGGGCGAAGTTCCCAGAACAGACTTTGCCTCAGGAGCGAACACATGGCCATTCCCAAATGGGACCAGCAGGCTCCCAAGGGCCCTGCCTGCTGCTGGCCCTTGGTACTCAGACCAGCAACACCCACCTGGTATGATGCGAGCTGCCCGGGGTCATCGCGGCCTCAAAGGGACTTGCATCTTTGGGTCCCAGAAAAGAAACTTCAGGAAAGGACTTAAATTGATGGTGGAAGGGACGAAACTTCCTGAAACACAGAGAACTTCCATTTTGAATACCGTGGGTGGCAGGGAGAGGGGAAGGGGGGCCCGCCCAACCCCCCAGAATCCCAGTCCTGATAAAGTGGCCTCTCCCCCACACAACTCCTCAGTTCTTTTTTTTTTTAAGATTTTTATTTATTTATTTGACAGAGACACAGCGAGAGAGGGAACACAAGCAGGGGGAGTGGGAGAGGGAGAAGCAGGCTCC